TGGGGGCACTCAAGGCAGGGGGTAGGTGTGTGGGGTTGGGGGAAAGGAGAGCAGAAAGGCTGAGCCCCTTCTCTCAAGATTCATACCAGGATGCTGTTTGCTCTTCCTCTTTCTGTCACTCTCAGGGAGTGAGAGGAAAGTGCCCGGCTCCTCTTCCCTCAGCTGCCAGGAGTGAGGAATGCCACAAACTGGGCACTTTCTGCTTGTTCCTGACAGGGACAGGAAGGGGAAGAACAAGCAGAGTCCTGGTAGGAATCTCAGAGCGGGAGAGGCCTTCAACCCCCTGCCCTCCTTAAAGGGCACGAGCGCGCTGGGAGCCTGGCTGGAAGCATGACAGCTGGCTCCCTCTTGCCAGAGCAGCGCACCAGGGCGCTCAGCCTTGCTTTCAGCTCTGGTTCTGGCCCACCTGAGGTTGATTTTTAAACACATCTACTGCTGATTGATGAATGCAGTAGAATCTCAGAGTTCTGAACACCACCGTTAGGAACTGACCAGTTGACCACACACTTCATTTGGGACCAGAAGTGCACAAACAGGAAGCAGCAGCGACACCCTCCCCCCAAAAAGCAAACACAGAACAGTGCTGTGTTAAACATAAACTACTAAAAAAAAGGGAGGGAAACAGCTCTTTCCTTCTGCACAGTAAAGGTGTATTAAGTCAACACTCAGTGGTACACTTTTAAAGAACAACTATAAGGTTTTGTTCAGAGTCATGAACAACCTCCATGCCCAAGATGCTTGTAACCCCGAGGTTTCCCAGTCAGACTGTCCATTTCTACAGCACCTTCCATCTTATGCTTTCAAAGTGCCATGCAAACATGAGACAATAAAGCTGAATACAACTCTGCAGCAAAAATTATTATAGACCTTTTACAGATGAACCTAGATCCAAAGAGATGAAATAATTTACCCAGCCCTAGACAGCTTCAGAGTCAGGAATGGAACGTAGACTGCTCCCACTCCAACCATTATCACAATAAAATACCCATTGCTGAGAAGAGGGGCTAAGGGACCTTTCCCTGCATTACATAGTCATTGGACTTTACTATATGGCTACGTCTACACTGGCATGATTTTCCGCACATGGTTTTAACGGAAAAGTTTTCCGTTAAAAGCATTTGCGGAAAAGAGCGTCTAGATTGGCAGGACGCTTTTCCGCAAAAGCACTTTTTGTGGAAAGGCGTCCGTGCCAATCTAGACGCGCTTTTGCGCAAAAAAGCCCCGATCGCCATTTTCGCCATCGGGGCTTTTTTGCACAAAACAAATCTGAGCTGTCTACACTGGTCCTTTTGCGCAAAAGCTTTTGCACAAAAGGACTTTTGCCCGAACGGGAGCAGCATAGCATTTCCGCAAGAAGCACTGATTTCTTACATGAGATCGTCAGCGTTCTTGCAGAAATTCAAGTGGCCAGTGTAGACAGCTGGCAAGTTTTTCCACAAAAGCAGCTGCTTTTGCGGAAAAACTTGCCAGTCTAGACACAGCTCATGTATGCTTCTGCATTGGAGTTTACTGCATGGCTAAGTAGCAGTTCGGCAGAACAGGACCTGGGGGTTACAGTGGATGAGAACCTGGATATGAGTCAACAGTGTGCCCTTGTAGCCAAAAAGGTTAATGGCATATTGGGGTGCATTAGGAGGAGCATCTAGAGAAGTGATTATTCCCCTTTATTTGGCATTGGTGAGGCCACATCTGGAGTTGTGTGCCCAGTTCTGGGCCTCCCACTATAGAAAGGATGTGGACGCATTGGAGAGGGTCCAGCGGAGGGGGACCAAAATGATTAGGGGGCTGGAGCACATGACCTACAAGGAGAGGCTGAGGGATTTGGGCTTATTTAGTCTGTAGAAGAGAAGAGTGAGGAGGGGTTTGACAGCAGCCGTTCTCAGTAGTGATGGATGGCAGAACAAGGAGCAATGGTCTCAAGTTACAGTGGGAGAGGTCTAGGTTGGATATTAGGAAAACTTATTTCCCTAGGAGGATGGTGAAGCACTGGGATGGGTTCCCTAGGGAGGTGGTGGAATCTCCATCCCTAGAGGTTTTTAAGTCTCAGCTTGACAAAGCCCTGGCTGGGTTGATTTAGTTGGGGTTGGTCCTGCTTTGGGCAGGGGGCTGGACTCAATGACCTCCTGAGGTCTCTGCCAGCCCTAGGATTCTATGATCAGAGACTGGGGAAAACATTTAAAATGACCATAAAGAGGCTGTCCCTCAAACTCGCTGTCTTTCACTTGCTGTTTTATTTAGACGCCATAAAAAATGCTTCAATTCCTCTGATTTCACTGTGAGTCAGAGGTTTGTGTTCTCTGCTGTGCTGGCTGGTGGACATCTCTCATAAAAATATAACTTCCCAACACGCAGACGGGCCAGTTTCAAAGGTTTCTGACAGATTAGAACAGCTCCAAACTGGGACAGCCATGTCAACGCATTTAGGTTGAATCCCCAAATTTCCTCGCAGCCTGGCAATGAAGCGCCCTCTCCTGAGAGAGGGCAGTCGAACATCAGATGCAGAGATTCTCAGGACCAGCGCAGCCACAAGGTGCAAACAGCATCACCGTGAGATGATGTAGCATGAGCTCATTTTATAGCACTCTTCTGGGAAGGGACCTTCCTTCAGCAGG